CAGGTCAGGACCTATGAGCCAGCCAAGCTCGCACAGCAGCACAGTGCTCAGTTGCCCCAGAGTTACAAGCTCTGGTGGGATAGAGGTCTTTCTCACTTGAGTCTTATTCTGACATCGCTGCCCAATCACCACTTAAAGCTGCTTCCTCTTGCTCTGGGCAGCTTCTCCCAGCCACAGTTCATGGTAGCCCAGAACCACTTGAGTGTTGTGCATTGGTGCTCTTGGAGCCAGGTAAGTAGAGAAAGCCATACCTACCAGTGACCTAGGAGGCATATCTGCCACAGACCAGTAACACAGCAGGCAAAAAGCCTAAGGGACACTCACTTGACTCTGGTTGCAAAAATGGAGAAGAGATATTTATACATTTGGTAAAAATGTATCTGTAATATTTCTGTTTGGACTAAAGTTAGAAATAGTTGGGAGGCTGAGGCGGAGGACTACTTGAGCCCAGGAGTTCAAGACCAGCCTGAGAAACATAGCGAGATCTTATCTCTACAAAAAAAAAAGAATTAAAAAATTACCTGGGCTTGGTGGCATACACCTGTAGCTCCAGCTACTTGGGAGGCTGAAAGGGAAGGATAGCCCAGAAGGTTAAGGCTGTGGTGAGTCATGGTCATGCAACTGTACTTCAGTCTAGGGAACAAAGTAAGACTCTGACTCAAAAAATAAAACAGCTGGCATCTACTGTGAAAAGTAAACTAGTAAGGAAAGGGAAGGCCAAAAATCCACAAGAACCAGAAGGAAAGAGACTGACAGAAACAAGGGCCATGCCTGTTTTAGTCACAGGGCCTCATCCATTCTTCCAAAGCAGCAGGCATGGGCCAGAAGGTTAGAAGTGAGGTCCCAGGTAAATTGTTTTCTTCTAGGGTCAAGAAATCGTCTCTCAGAGGCACCAAGATGTCTAGGTCTCACATACAAGGTGCCACAAAAGAACATTTCAAAACACTGAACATGCATCCTCCGGGCTGACAGTGTGTTTCCTAACTGTTAACAGGTCACTTCCGAGTACAGGCAGAATGATAAACTCTTGAGGAAAATGAGGGAATTCAGAGTTAGGTGTGTAGCAAGAGGCTGCATCACCCTGGCTCCTTGCTTTGCTTCATCTGAAGACAAGTTCACACAGTCAGAAGGTTGTGAGCACGGTGGCTCCCAGCATTATGATAGCCAAATTGAATGTGTGAATGAGAGCCGCACCACAGAGAAGGCTCCAAGGCCGTGTTTCAACCGCTCTGGCTGGCTTCAGTGTCCAGTCACATGCAGAGTGCGTGTGGTCACAGCGTCCCACCTGGACATGCTGGTCTCTGGGAAAGGACAGGCAGGGAGTTTTGTTCCCAGGAGCACAGGTACCCAGAACCAGAAGCCTCTGGTCCTCTCTCACTGGTCCTGGCAGGCAGAGATACAGGAAGCTAACACAAAGCCATTTTCATCAGAACCCAGTGACACTGCACAGGTGACTTGTACATCTTGGGAGGGGATGCGGTTATTGGAAAAATCAGGCATCTTAAAATGATACGATCTGTTAACAAAATACAACCCACTTGCACACCCAAAAGGTAACCATCTAATTAACTGCAATCAACAGAAAAAAATCCTCAGAAAATATCGTTGTTTAAATACACTCTATTTTATTTTGTCTTAAAATAGTTTAACCTTTATGCTACAGACTTATTTCAAAAAACAGAAAATCTTATCTTGCACCAAAAAATATATATATAACACTCTGTTTTATTATTTTTTTCTCCAAAGACCATTAAATACTAAATGGAAACAAAAACTAAATAATGAATGTAAAGAACCCAATTTTGTTTCAAAAACTAGAGTTGCACATTTGAAAACATTAACTCCAAGCAATGATTTGTCATCACTGCATCAAGTCCATGCTCACACTCCAGCAACAGCAGGTCCGCCAACTGCCAAGTGCATTGTTCCTAGCCACACAATGGCTAACATTTCACTTTCACGGCGAGGGGGCAAAAGGCTTCCAGGACCTTTGCACTCTTTAAAACACAAACAACACAAAAATATTTCCTAGTAATCCAGTGATTTTTTTCTTTAAGATCGCTACCCTTTAAAATTTGTTAAAAGAATAAGAAGTAAGTAGTGTTTTAAATAAAATGAAAAAATACAACACATTGGACTAAAATACGTGATTATTTTAAACAAACAGTGCACAATCTGAGGAAGTTTGGCTAGGGCACAATCATTTTTATATATACACGGAAGTCACATCATACACGTATCAGAGAACAGGGTTGGGGGCTCTCTGCCTTTTAAAAAAAAGTTTAAAACTAAAAGACAAAATTGTGTCCCCAGCTTTTTCAAAAACTTTGTGACAGTATGAAAAGCAGGCAAACAAGTTTATTTCAAGCCCGCTATGGTGCTACTCTGCTGAAAATAATATTAAACAAATGACTAAATTAGCAAATCAGATGTTTCACATTCACCAAAGCAGAGCTTGCAGGACACTCAACTGTCAAGAATCATGAATATGCCCAGCCTGGCCCAGACACAGGCTGCCCGTCCCTGGAGAACAGCAGGGCAAGTCGCAGAGCAGTCTCAAGGACCTGACCACTCCAGTACTGAGGGTCCTCAGTTGGAGAGGAGCAAACGTAGAAAAGTCAGTGGCAAAGCCACCCGGGGCCCACACGTACCATTTCAGCAGAGGGACTGCTCTCAACAGATAGTGTCCTATAATGCAGGGAGAACTCTGGTCAAGAAAAATCCCTTTACAAATTTCAAACGTCACAGGAGCTGTATGTCACAGAACTTTATTACTGAATCCTCGTCTGAAACCACGGCCCCCACTCTTCTGGTCGCAGCCATGATAAAAGCTGAAACAAGGTCTCTCTCCAGCTAGTCACAAGGTGTCTGGTGGGGGAGGAGGATGGGAGGATGGGATTGCCTGTTCCTGCCATGATCCCATGCCCTCTCCCTGCCCACATCTCTGCCCTGGCGCTTAGATGTTCTGGTACTTCAGGTCAGGGAGTCAGGGAGAGAAAACAGGGACAAGGGAGGGGAAGGGACGGCCTGACATGAACGCAGAGGGCCAGGCAGAGCGTAGTCACAACTCCACACTGCTCCGAACCATGCGCCGGGAATGCCAGGAAAGCTCTCTCTCAGCGGATGACCACTAGGGCTTCCGGAAGTAGCTCACTGTGAGACTGGAAAGCACACCGTCCATGCAAGAGGAGGCAATGCAAAAACGGTCTGTGAAGCAGGCTCAGCCTTATTCTGGAGACAAATAAGCTGCAAAAGCTTCAAGTCACACAATCCACTCTGTTTTCTTCCGATGAATTTCCTGGAAATCACAGACCAGAAATTGTACATTTCTGCTTTGTCTCATATTTTAATTCAAGTCAAAAACGATGTGTAACAGTAAAATTCAATAAATTAACCCTCAAGTAAAACATGACAGTCCAAGGACACACCAGTAGTGGATCTGCAGAAGGGCCCATGTCACTCTGGCCTCTGGGTCTTTGGTTTTTGTCTAGAATGGTGGCCATGTGAGAAATTGATAAACGAGGTGCAGAAACTGGAGGTTCGTGGCCTTAAAAGTCTTATCTATTAAGAGGAGATTGTAGGAAAAATAACAAGGGGCTGAAGAGCAGAGGCCAGACCCAATGAGACGTACTCGATACATTCTCATGGAAGCAAGGGAAAGGACGCAACAGGAAGGTGCGTGATCAGATAGACGCATTTTCACAGAAAAGGAGGAAGAGGCTGAGCAGGTGCAGGCATGCAGGCATGTCTTGGTCATCAACCCCCAGTCCCCCATGGTGCCGCATGCAGAGCAGGACCTGGACTGCTGAATGAAACGGACACAGAGTCCTTACACTCTTGGGGGAGAAGGAGCCGCCGAGACATCTGGAGAGGGAGGCAAAGGGCCACCGCAACAGGGACACAGAAACACAGACCGTGAAAAGCAAAAGGTGGGTATCCCAAGCCAGGGTCACTGCACCCTGTGCATAACACAGTGTTCCAGCTCTGAGTATTGCTCTTAAACATCTTGCTAGGAACTACGGCATAAACAGGAAACAGGTAGTCACTACTGCCACAAAGCCCCAACTCGGGCACTTCCTGAACTCCCTGAAGCTCCTGCTGCCCTGGCTAGCCTTTTACACACCATGAAGCTCACAGTGCCACAGATGTACTTTGCATCTGTTTCTCTTGTTTGTTTTAAAGAAGGTAGAAGAGAAAAATACCCCAATACAACATCGAGTCCTCAGTCTAGGTGTTCCACAGCTCTTAGGCACCTTTGGAGAAACCAGCTGTGAGAGAAGGCACTGTCCTCTGAGATTCGCAAGTGCCAGAAGCTGCAGAAGCTACATTCTTCATTCTTTCTTACAGGTTTCTGTGTTCCCCTGTTACTTGAACTCCCCAGGACAAAGCATGGAGGGAGAGAGATGGGCCCCCAATCCCTCAACACTCTCTCCAGATGCCCAGAAAATCTCAGTGTGTATCCATCCAAAATGCCTCTGCCCCAGGGAGATGCTTTCCAAAAAGTTACGAATTATTGCAACAAGGAGACCAACTAGGTCACCTCAGTAGTATTTATAAACGCAAAGGGGCATGTCAGTGATCTGTGTTGAGGGAAGCCAGCCAGGAGCAAGTCAGGAAAGAAGGCAGAAGACTTAAGTCAAAAGAAAAGAAATAAGATGCTGAGCACTTCTGCCTTCCATGTGGAAGGACAGTTTTCTAAACGCACATGCCCTGCTAAGTGCCAGCGAGGACGAGCCCAATATGTGTGCAAATGCCCCAAGATGGGAGTGCCGGGAGGGAAGATAGTGGTCAACTCTAGATAGTAATTTCATTATACAAAAAAATAAATATAAGAGCCAAAAACCGAGACCCATTTTACCTGGTAATTTAAATATTATTCTAAAAGAAAGGCGGAGTTTCCTAAGGTTCAAAGTCACCAAGTAAAATGAAATTGTCTAATAAAATTCGTCATTCTCACATTCCTACTGAGGGAAAGAAGAAATTCTTTTCTCTGTGATAAGTTATTTTCCTAAGTGACATCTTTTAATTAAAAAGGGGGGGGAGGGGTTTTCCATGAGTTTCAATTCTACAAATGCCACAAACAGCTTCTGAAGCTGAAAAGCTATGACAATGAGCTTCCGTGTCACAAAGAGGAAGAGGAAGTGGAAGGACAGTGCAGAGGAACACAGTGACATTGTATTACAGTAGGTATTTGCGCCTGCTGTCCTCATCCAAGGTGAGGTCGACAACTTCTGCTGGTGAGGCCCATGTCTGCTGGGGAGTCACAGCAGTCCATGACTGTGTTTGCCTGGTACTGACATACGGCGTGCCCGAGCCGTGCTTCCAGGAAGAAACACTCTGAATCACGCCTCCTCGTGGATGAACACACCTGCAGCGGGAGAAAGAGAAGTGTGGTCAGTCCCCATGAGAAAAGCGATGCAAGATGGCTTTGGCTGTCCTCACTAGTGTTTTCACTACGGCAGGCTCACTACACAAGTGCACAAAACTCACAATCAGTATCTTCCCTCCACATCTGTCTGTCGCTCTCTCCCCACCCCTCCCTCCTCTGTCCCTCTCTATATTTAGCCTTAAAAAGGCCCAAGGGTCTTGTCTCAGACTCACTGGAGTTGTGTCCAGATTAGCCACTGCCATGGATAAGATGGTGTTTCTATGGACTTGTCTGAACCTCAGGGATTTTCATGACAGGGCAGCATAAAAGCTGAACAAAATGAAGATGCCTCAACAGTCTTCAAATGAACAAACAAAAGCAAAACTTGTTCTTAGAATAAATTTTGTGTCGTATTTGGTAACAATGCCTTCAAAGACAGTAATACCTTTCTACAGATTAAATTTCTACAAGTCTGTAAGTACTAGGTCACACATAAAGGATCACTTTCTCTTGTTCTGAAGGTCACAACAGAAACACTTGGTGTGTTCATCAGAGTCGCTGACACCTTGGATCCGTGAAAGTAACAAAGCTAAGGACTGGGTGGTGGAGGAAGATCCCCTGAAGGGTCCTAGCACAGGGTAGCCCTGCCTTGCTGACAAGTACACCAAGAGTTCACAGAAGAAAACACTGACAGCCTGAATTCCAAATGAAAGCCAGATGGTGGAGGACTGGGCCCAGAACAGAGCACCGGGCGGCTCAGCTGAGGGAAGGCAGGCTGCGACCACACAGGATGCTCTCCTGCCTGCACCTGTGTCACTGTGCAGCCCTCGGGTGGTTAATGAGAGGGTAACACGTGGCCAAGTCTAGTCCATAAAGCTACCACGGTGGCCCTGAGCAGCTGTTCTGACAAACCATACACCATGAGCAACACAGGCTCACTTGAGAGTTCCAACTTTAACTGGTGTTCCCTGCACCAGTATTAGATTATTGACAGGCAAGTGACCATGATAAAACTGTCCCAAGGACCCTCATGCTCCTAGAAAAATGCCTGGTCCTACAAAGGCTTGAAACTACTCCCTGAGCAAGGTGCCAAAGATCTGGACCCTCCTTCGGGCAGAGGCACCTGTCACGGTACCAGAGCCCTACCAGGAACAGGGTAGGCAGTTAATAGCCCAGAGACTACTGCATTTTCAAATACAGCTAGCGAACACTGTCAACACAAGGGACACAGGAGTCCAACAGCTAGTGTGTTTCTGTTCAACCGACTAGGTAAACAGGTTCAGTGAGCAAGCAGTCAGGGAGAGAGGAGCCAGAGGAGCCCACACAACATTTGCAGAGATCCGGGTGACACGAGGCCAGGAGCACACTCAGTTCACAAAGCAGTTCATATACACCACCTCCGATGACCACTTCAACAAATATGAGGCAGGCATGGGACTCACTCTCCACAGACAGGTTTGCACAGGTCCTGCCAGGGAACTTCCAGACAGACCAGCACTTCCCTTACAGACTATTACACTGGGAGAGGTGGAACACAGCAAGTCCTCTGAGTGCAAAGACCGGCCCAGGTGAACATCAGCAAGGGTAACAATCCTTCACAATCCAAAGCTCCACACAAGCACAGACTGAAGGGCAGCCCACCAGAAACCCAGTAGAACCAGGTGGTGAGTAGCTGCCGAGTCAGCACCATCTTGGGCAGAATTCCTACAAATATCCCCCAAGTAAGAGAGGGATATTGCCTGGATACAGCTCTACAGCAAACCCCATGGCCCAGCTGTGGTTCTGCAGCACCCCTCCACCTCTCCATCCAGCCATTGCTCTGCAATGCCCCTGTGGCCCAGCTGCAGCTCTGCAGTGTCCCTCTACGGGCCCTGTCATTGCTCTGCAGCGCCCGGTAAGTAAGCACACAATGGAACACCAGGAAGTGGCTTTAAAAGGGATCTCATCTCATCTGTTCACTTTGCAGAAGAAAATAACAGTCTGAAAGACAACTGCCTAGGGTCATAAGCAAGTGAAGCACAGAAGCCAAACAAAATCAAGTCTCTACCAGGGGGTAATGTTCCACTAAATAACTGCCCTCCGCGGCCTGCACTGGAAGTGCTACACTATGTTGGGCTGACAGAAGCCCGCCTGGCTCCCAGGGCACTCAATAAGCAGCAAAGAGTATTCTACAAATACAAGTACCTGGTATAGGAAAAAAACAGAAAGAGAGTGGTTTATAGACGGTATTCACTGCTGAGGACCCACTGGAGAGAAGACGAGACCAGGCACTCAGTATCTACAAATAGATCACTGTTATAACTCTCTTGCAAACGGTTCTAGTTACCAGAAGCCAACCCAGACTACTTCAAACAAAAAGGGGAAATCAGCAGCAGGACACTGGAGTGTCTCAGGAACCTGCTCATGATGGGACAGGCCCCAGCCCTCTTGGTCTGGATAATCTGATGACCCCATCTGTGGGAAAGAGCTTTCCTGGCTCTGATTAGCTGGAGGTGGAAGGGAAGTTTCCAAAGAAGGGAGAAGAGCCATGAGCCACCAACAAAGTCATGGAGAGCACACCAGGCAAGCTTGGGCAAACACTACTACATAGAAATCGAAGCACCTGCCCCATGGAATAAACTGCCTTTTAAATGTCCAAGTAGAGGGGCAGAATTGGCAGCAGTGGAAAACTGCCATGGTGGGGGCGGGGGGATATATCTCATCAATAAGGGTACCTGCATAATGAACATTTGTATAACTAACCCTGAATTGTGCCCCACACATTCAAAATAAATAAATAATAAATAAAACCATTAGTCTTTACAAAGAAGCAAAAATAAATAAATAGATAGATGTTCAAGTAACTGCGGGGGCATTTGTCAGGAATGTTAAACAAGATTTCAAGGTAACCTCTAAAGTCATCAGTGGCTATAAGTTTTGCTCAAAAACAGGCCACATTATCGTTAGAAGTCAGTATAGGCCAGGTATGGTGGCTCAGGCCTATAATCCCAGCACTGTGGGAGAGTGAGGTGGGAGGACTGCTTCAGCCCAGGAGTTCAAAACCTGCCTGGGCAACATAGGGAGACCCTGTCTGTACAAAAAAATAGATAAATTAGACAGGCATGGTGGTGTGCCTCAGGTGACCAAGGTAGAAGAATTGGTTGAACCCAGGAGTTTAAGGCTGCAGTGAGCTGTGATGACACCACTGGCACTCCAGTCTGCGTGAGAAAGTGAAATCTGTCTCAAAAATTTTTTTCAAAAGGTCAGGATAGTAGATAGGGGGAAAAACAAGGGGATGCCATGACTGGTGGCACTGGCAGACGTCTAAGTTTTCATCAGAGTGCTGGTTACTTGAGTAGGAGTAGTTTGCAAAAATTAAAGTGCACACTATGACTTTTCTGTGGGTGTTATTAGCCTATAAAATACTCAGCATTTTTTATTAGTGACCTCAACCACAGGGAATAAAATGGGAGCTAGGAGATGGACAAGGGCAGAGTAAGGCTCATACTACATTCTTTTTAGAAGTATGGCGGTGAGGGAGGTCAATCTAGTCAATAGAAGAGTGCTGGAGAAACATTTCAACTACTTCATAAGACAATGCCCACAACATGCTGACCTACACCAGATGGAGGGGGGAGAATCCACAAGGAGATGGGCCCACAGCTGTCAAGCCCTCCAGAGTCCCCCGAAAGGTGGGTACGAAAAGGTCAGAACGAGCCTGGAAAGCAGAGCTGCTGCACTGCCATGCATACCTTCTCTTAGGTGCTGTCCAGGCTGCTCAGCGGCCTCTGAGAGGTCCCCTAAAGTCCAGTGCAGACAGAGGCTTGAGTCTCACCAGGTGTTAAGTCTGCACACAACTGGTGACAGACACAAAATACAACCCAGAGTCACACTGAAAATGCACTTCCCAAAATGTTAGGGGAAAAATACCTTATAAACAGTTAGTTTTGATAGAAACGTTTCTTGTTCTTCACATACTGAAATCAACAGAGATACTTCCTTATGGAAATGAAGGGAGAAAAAAAATCAACCACAGACTGAGAGCAGACTCTGATGGTCAGCTTCTGATAGCTTACCATACTAAGAAAACAACATTAAAAATTAATCATTTTTGCTCTCATTTCCAGATCCTGAAGGTGACCTCTTAGAAAATGCTCCTACTTATCTTCCCTAACTGAAGAGGAATTGAACCCTTGTGATTTTGGGAGTGTTCATCTGTCTCCTCCCGCTTTTAGGGTTCATGCCAACAACTGCTTCTATGAAACAACCAGACTTAAATGCAAACGTTTCAGTTATTTTGCTGAGGAATGAACCAGTGTTAACACCAATTAACACAGAACTAATAAACTAAGGCAAGAGTCAGATTATTTACAAAATTCTCAAGATCAAGAACCAAAGAAACTGTCCCAACACAGTCCCATAACAAAAAGATCTGCACGATACGCAGCCATGTTTCCAGAGCAATTACCAATGAGGCTAGTAGGAGAAGGATAAAGGGCCATGGCCGGAGGTTCATAAATTAAAACTTCTGGCAAAATTAAGTGGGCACAAAAGAATTAGAGATGCTAGGAAAGTCTCCGTCTTCCCAGCAAAGAGCCATCTGTGGCCCTGGACTGTCCAAAAACTAACATCTGGAACAAACATTCAGGTAACAGAGAGTTCAACAAAACAACACAGGCCACCATGAAAGGTGCATGCACCCATTAGTTCAGAAAGCATGCATTCTAGTCTAGGACTAGGAGAAACACAGGAGCTAAGAGGATACATCAAAATCTAAGTCAAAAGAGTAGGGAAGCATATTCACATGCGAAAAAGCTTTACCAGAGTGGTGGGGGTGGGGTCACAGCTAGAACTACTGAGCACATATGCCAGTCAAAATGCTTCCCACAGGGAATGTGGCACCACACACAAGTCAGGGCAACACGGTCCCAAGGAGAACAACCCAAGCAAGTCTGAGTTTTTAAAACTCTCAGTCCATGACAATATAGACTATCAAAGAAAAAATAAGAACAGGACGATATTCAAACAAAACATTGCCTGCACACATGCAAATCAAACTAGAGCAAAAAGATGTGGATCAAAACCTAAAACCTTTTTCCAAGCGATAACCCTGCCAGAAGCACATCAATACTTCATAACTGCAACCCTAGACCTGTAAGAGAAACAAATTCCAGATGAGATACAGGCAGCTAGAGGCCACACGAAAGCAACCAAAGAAAGCCTCTCTCCCAACTTGCTTCTCAACTTTTTAACCCCAACGCTTGAAAGGTTATCAGTCTACTTGTATGGAAACTGCTGGAAACAATTCCAGAAAGACTTATTCCTAGACCCAAGACTCATATAAAAGATGCCCTCAAAATAATAAAGGAGTCAGTTAAAAATATTTGAAGTATCTGTAAATTCTACATTCCATTGTATGGACAGTAATAACCACCACAAAGAGTTCAAAATGGATGTCAACCTACCAGAAATGATTTCCCCAGGATTCAAACTAATGAGTCAGAATAACCTTTATGCTTCAAAGCTATAGGAAAAAGCTCTTAAAAATAATGTTACATTATTTAAAATGTAGACAAAGTCACTTGATTTTGTTCAAGTGTGGAACCTGTCTATACAGTAAAGTGACAATCTAGAAATAAAAGACCTAACAAGTTCAGAAAAGAACGTATTAGAGATTGTGTGTGTGTGTGTGCTGTGTTGTGTGTGTGTGTGTGTTGGAGGGGAGGACTGAGAATTTAAATTTCCAAGTTTTAATAGAAATATAATGAAAGTTTTAACTCCAGATACTGAAATATTGCTTAAGATAAAAAAGGAAGCCAGGTGTGGTGGCCCACACGTATAATCCCAGCAGGGGCAGAGGCCAAGGCAGGAGGATGGGTTGAGCCCAGGAACTTAGGACCATCCTGGGCAACATAGCAAGACCTCCTCTCTACAAAATATCAAAAAAATTAGCCAGGTGTAGTGGTGCATGCCTCTAGTCCTAGCTATCCCAAAGGCTGAGGTGGAGGGATCGCCTGAGCCCAGGCAGCTAAGGCTGCAGTGAGCTGTTATTGTGCCACTGCACTTCAGTCTGGGCATCAGAGTGAGACTCTGACTCAAAAAAGAAAGAAAGCCGAAGAACTCATGATGGAAGAAAGTTGAACAAAGAAGCTAAATAGAAGGTGGCTCATGCTAGAACATTTCTAGGCATAAGGAAACATTAAAAAGAAGACTTGATAGAAGTTAATAGAGAACTGGACCAAGTGACATGTCTTAACACATAGCAAGAGACAAGATAAACAACACAGGTTATTATGAACTCCTTTCTATTTAAGCGGGAACACGTGAGTACGATGAATTGCAATCTGAAATGTAGCTCAAGAGGAAGATGGCAAATAATAATTGCTCCTGGCACAAGTGAAGACAATTTACCCACAATCTGTTAATGGGTGGGAACTCTGAAGTTTATAAAAAATACAATATCCTAGAAAGATCCTGACATGGGACTTAAAAGGATAATGTATTTTATAATGTAAGAAACAATGGTGAAATAAACTAATGGTAGACACACACTGAAGTAAAGAGGAAATCAGTAGAAGTAGTTTTTTCATCTGATGGGTAAGTTAGCTAGAAGAGAGCAGATCGAAACATGGATGATAACTCAACAGGAAAATGATTCTGGTTAGGACAGAAAACAAAGGGAAAGAGTGAGATGAAGACAGGGAAAATAATCAATGAGAAAAAGGAAGCAGCACGCAGGCATAATTGGAACACAGACACAGGGAAGAGGACAAGGTACTGGGACAAGACGAGGTCTGCAAGAGGCAGCGTCAGCCACGTCAAGGAGACAGCGTGTTCGGCTACCAGTTAACACAATGTCCTTAAGGTTCCAATTGTTTAAGTGAAAAATGCTCTAAGAATGTATCATCTGATTTCACTAGAAAAAGGTTCCCTCGGCCTATGTGCATCTGTATTATATCTACACTTCTATGTTCATCTTTTATATAAGAAACAAAAGAAATGCTGGTGAATGTGTTCTATTACCTGGCTAACCAAAGAGTAAAATCAGATCTAAGAGCAAGGTAAGAAAGATATTGTGTGATACACCTATTATCAGAAAACCACAACTTAACCCTGTGGCATGGGAGAAAAGCTATTTGTTATCAGAATACTAAAGCTCTAAAGTCTAAATTTTCGGGTGTGTGTGTGTGTGCATGTGTGTATGAGAGAGACAGAGACAGGAGAGAGAGAGAGAGAGAGAGAGAGAGAGAGAGAGAGAGAGAGAGAGGAGACAAAGAAAGAGAGGAGACAGAGAGAGAGAGACAGAGAAGAGAGGGAGAGACAGAAACAGACCAGGAGGGAGATATTCCAGAAGAGTATCTCAGAGAGGGCTATAACCAATCCTTATGAATACACACACTCTAAAGCAGAAGTCAGCAAAGGTTCCAGCAAGGGTACTTACTTTTCAGCCAGTCTGTGTCTTAGGCTCCAGGGGCCATAGTGTCTGCTGAAGCCATTCAGCTCTGCCCTGCAGTACAGCAGCCACATATGACATGCAAGATGGACAAGCATGGCTCTGATATGATGCAGCCGTACTTACAGACAATGAAATCTCAATTCAGATCATTTTCATGCATCATAAAAAAACCAGTCTTTTTTTCCCAACCACTTAAAAATGTAAAAACCATTCTTAGCTCATGGGCCATAACAAAAAAGGCCAAATCAGGCAGTCAGTTTGCTGACCCCTACCTTAAGGAATGCCAAGCTTCATACAATGATTTTCCTAATGCTACACACCAAAATGTGATGTCTTGTGGCTCTTTGTTTAATACTAAGAAACAGGACTGCTTCTGTCATATGAACATCACTAGAAATATCCTCTGTGAGAACAGACCAAAATAACTTGTGAGTTTGCTTTCAATGAAAGACAAGGAGAGGTGTTCTAGGAAACAAGCCAAGTGGTGTGATATCAGATGCAAGCTTCTCAACTGTTTCCTCCCAGTATATTCAAGGTCAAGTCAAAGGCAAGAAGTATGAATGAGGAGGGCAAAATATGACCTTAAGCAGAAAAGTCTGTCCAGCCATCAGGCTATCTGCTTAAAATAAGAAAGACTATCTGCTCCAGTTCACACGGATGTATGGGTGAGATGCTCCTGACACGAGACTACTTCACACACATGTATGGGCAAGCCATTCCTGGTACAAGACAACACACAACACATTCTAAAGTTCACATCACATCAAAACAAAAAGTGTTTCTTAAGCCAAAGAAACTTGGAGACAGCTCCCCCATCCATGCCAGCTACGCCACGAGGTCTACCATGTCCCAATCTCATTTTCTGGATAAAAAAAAATTTACAATTTAAAATACCAGAAGACTCCAACAGAAGCTTACCTCGCATGTTCCTGAACTCCCACAATCTCTACTTCGCTGTCTGAAGAGGCGATGTTAATTTCTTCATTGAGTGGTGCATTACCAGCAGATGTTTTATCACTTGCTAGGAATCCTGGATCCAAATGACCTGAGAGAGAAGAGAGGGAACAAAAACAAATGCTTGAGTTTAATTTCTTACAAACAGTGGAATAACTCACCGACAGATTGCTCATTCATGCTTAATTACAGCAATGGAACAGCCCTGCCCCGGATAGGCGGGGACAGTGTTCTGTCTTTTACCTTTAATTGGTTTAAAAGAAATAAGCATAATACATGTTCATGGCATGTGTTCAAACATGGCAGTACATAGAGTATGAACTCCAAGTCCCTCATTCTCCTTATGTGGAAACACTTCAAATACTTTGGTAAATATCTGTACCTAAATATGAATATATAAATGTAGTATGACATAAATGCAGTCCTACTACCTATTTTATTCTGTAATGCTTTTTGCATCCAACTCCAGTCAGCTTCTGAATCACCTTCATAACCACCTACAGGGCAATGGGGCCCTTTACTGCTTATCATTTTAACAGAGCAAAATTCTAAACCAGAACAGTGCAAAGACATACACAGAATAATTATGGAAGTCATCATGAATACCACATTATTTATATTGGATGTTTTGTGAAAGACATCTTTCTCTCTAAAGGAATGCAGATTTGACTAAATCTGACCCAAAACGGCATCAAGAAGGCTGGAGGAGATCACAATTTTGGCTCTAAGCAACGGAAATACAACCTCTACACTGCTGCCAGCTCTCGTTCAACAGAAACAAACCACACATTCTGGAAAAGCACAACTGAGTTTGAGGCAGCAGGGCATATGAGGAATTCATCACAGGGGTCTCCGAGAAGCATGCATTACATGATCACTAACACACATTCTCCACCTTCTTGGAACTCTCTCTCAGCAATGGCCAAAGGCACAGCATCAGAGTACACGGCTCTAAACACAATTCTAGCAAGAGCTAAAATAGTTCAGCCCATGCACCCAGCTCTTGAATGTTCTGACATAAAAGATGAATTTTAGAATACCCAGGAGTTAACACAGAATAAAGAGAGTAGCAATGGGTATACACTTTCACTTGCTTTCTAAAGGGTGTTTTCATTTAAATAGTCATTTGATACAAAATTATTTCTCCATATTAAAAAATTCTTTATGATACCTAATATAAACTAAACCCCTGTGAAGAAAATACCATTTTACACATACAACTCTCTCTTCCCTCCGTTCTCTCAACCCAGTGCTCCAAGGCTACTGAGAAATCTTGTACTTTTACATGCTTGTCAACTTTGAATGCAATCTTTCTGGAAAGCTACAGGCAGTCTCAAAGTAAACCTTAAAATGTTTACACTCTTTGCCCCTGTAAACCCATCCCTGAGAATTTACTGTAAGGGGAAGACTTTAAATAAACAAAATGTTATGATGTCCAAACATCTTCCCCGTTGCACTATGTAGACAGTTGGGGAAATGCATACATCACATATTAGGTACCACACACAGCACTATAAAGCACACACGTGCTGGGGAACGCCACCGAAGGAATTAAGTGGGAATAGGATTGTGGGTCTTTTTTGTAAGTCTTTAACATCATTTTTCCTTTGATGTGAAAACAGATTTGAAGGCTTAGAATGGCTTCTGGCTTAACTACTGCCTGAGATCCCATCACTGTGTGCATTGGTGTGTAATCTAGGTGGGCCCCACATGGTGCTGGCAGAGTACACATGCCTCTGAGCCCCAGAAGCACAACAAAGGTGACACTCCCCAGACAAACCCCAGTTTTGATAAATCCATGGAATTTGGTTAAGTTTTGCTCTGGGAAACCTTGATTCTTGCTCAGATCCCAATGCCCTGCTGTGGCCAAGTCTTTTTCCAATTACCCTGATGAGTTAATCACAGCCCATCCTCATGCACATTATCCCAGCTGCACCGCATGGGGACCCCCCCCCCCCCCACCCCCCCAATTAATCATCTAGTTAATCGTCTCTCTTCTCCAAAGCTTCCACTTGTCCATATTCAGTAATTCAAGCAGCCTTTACTGGTGACTTCACCTGCTGTACCTATGATAAATACTTGTGACATGCTGTACACAGTTCTGGGTGCTATGACAAAAAACAAAGCAGGCAGTTTCTGCCCTCAATGAACCTACAGTATACTGAGGGATAAAAAGAAGCAGTCCACCGCCCCGTGGCTAAAGAGTCACTCTGACAGGGAAGGCACTCCCCAGACTTGAGGGTGATCAGGCTAGTGAATTCTCAGGGGAGCACAGGCACAGCTGAGGGGAAGTGCATAAGGAACATACAAAAGGAAATGTATTGAGACGTGAGTTAATGGTACTCAAAGAATAATGAGAAAAAAAGGCTGGCAAAGTCAGCAGAGGTCAGATCACAGGAAAGAGTCTGGACTTGACCTTGAGAAGTAGGAAGCCACTGAAAGATTTAGATGGAGAAGTGACTCATGTGACCTGGTTTTTCATTTAAAGAATTTCCTTTTGGAGGGTAGATATGAAACTGATAGCAAGACAGGAAATGTTGGAGGTAAGGAAAGCAGTGAGACTGCTGCAGTTTCCTGGGTGAAAAGTCACCATGGCTGAGCTAGGAAGAAAACCAAACTGGGGCCACTCGGGGTGTGTGTGGGGAGAACAAAGCTGGGAATCAGGTGAGGGAAGGCGAATCCTGCCTGGGCTTCTGGTTCAGATATCTGGAAAGAGCAGCAGAGTCCACCAGGGCACTAAGTGCACAGCACTTAGGACATGGTGGCCACAAGCCTGGGACATGCCCACAGTTGGCGGGAGGCACTATTCCACATCTCAATTTCGAGTCTCAAGAGGAACAGACTTGTCCCAACTTCATTAGAAGAGTGGAGGGGCCCAGAACAGAGCCCTGATCAACAACGTTAAGAGACAGGAGGAGCCAGGTGCGATAGCTCATGCCTGTAATTCCAGCACTTTGGGACGCAGGGGCGAGAGGATAGCCTGAGTTCAGGGTTTCAGACCAGTCTGAACAACATAGTGAGACCTCATCTCTACAATATGTAAACAATTTAGCCAGCATAGTAGCGCACACCTGTGGTTCCAGCTACTTGGAAGGCTGAGACAAAGGATCACCTGAGCCCAGCAGGTTGGGGCTGCGGTGGTCATGAGTGTGCCACTGCACTACAGCCTGGGTGAGACTCCAACTCAAAAAAAAAGAAAGAAAACAGGAGAGAGGGAGCCACACAAGGGAAAGGGAGGCAGAAAGGAACCCACAGATGTGGTCCCAGAGTCACAGACACCTAGGAAGCAGCTCCGTGGCGCCCAGCTGAGAGGCCCATGGGGGGGGGGGGGGGGGGGGGGGGCGCGGGCACACAGGGCAGCAGCCAGATGCCCACAGGAGGCCTCAGCAAGGGAAGCCTCTGGCCACAGCTGCAGCCAATGCAGCAGAGGAGCAAGGAGTAACTCAGGCGAGGTGATGGCCAGGGAGCAGTCAGCCACACAGGCAGGACGGAATGGAGCGAGGCCTGTGGGTGTGAAGGAGACAGTTTGTCTGTATGCACAGCTTTCAAGATGGAAGAGACGTGGTGATGTTCAGGAAAAAGGCAGAGAACAAACAGGGCTGACAGCAGAGAGCTGGGATCGCCCCGACTGGAAAGGGCGAGGTCCTGCAGAGCACAGGTGGGACAGGATGGCACCCCCTGAAAAAAGGGTGCTGCCCAAGAAGAGGGCTGCAGGCTAGGAAGTTGAGGTGACCCTGATCTCTGCAGCCATGTGATCTCCCCAGCTCTGCCCAGCAGTGTGGGCATCGGTCAGTGTGCCCGTCCACAAACCAGATGTGTCAGGTGGGCACAACAGGAGAGCCCACTCTCCAGGACTCAGCAGAGGAGAGCTGGGCCCAAGCAGGCATGACAGGCAAGGCAACCTAGCCGGTAGCTGATGTCCACAGCTCGGGGACATGCCAGGGAGGTGGGAGAATGTGGTGGGAGGGGCTGCAGGGGGTGCAGAGAGGAGCCCGCACAAGGAGTGGCAGGAGGACAAGTGGAGGTCATTGGGAACAGAATCTGCACTCTACTCTCTGGCCACAAGATATGGCCCAGGCAGCTGATACCTCCCAACCCACCCCACTCTGCTATTCTCTGTGGCTCCCATACCCACTGCCCACCTTCCTACCGCCTGTCTACCGCCCTGCAGAATGCCAGTACGTGGTAAACCACACTGAACTTCCTATCCCTCCAGTGGAAAGAAACCCAACTTCCCCAAGACACCATCTCCCTGAAGTCCTCTTGCAAGAGGAGGGTGCTCGAGCCTCCCGTGTTGGGTCCAGATTACCTCTAAATGACTGATCTCCATGCTCACATGCCAGCACCAGCAGCCAATGTCCTTCACTGTACATGCCAACTCCATGAGTCGCTTGTGTGTAAACACTCCCAGCACCAGCCCAGTCTCCCTCTACCTTCAGGCCCTGCTGTAGGGAATATGTGTTCTTTACAGGAACAACCACTCGATACAGGCTTGCCTGCTCACAGGAGACAAGGAGTGAGCTTCAAGAGGCACTGGCAGCCATGGGTGGCAGGCTCACAGCAAGGGCACAGCCTGTGACTCCCTAAAGATAATAGATTATGTGACGCTTTTGAACACCAGTACAGTAATTAAGAAAACACAATAGGAACATAACAGAATGACTGCTCCTTGGATCTCTGTGCCCGGCTCCACTGCCACATTCTAGCTATCACACCACATCTTCTGGGTAAAAGCGTTTTGTGACCTTTCTCAGCCATCTTCACTGAGCAGTACTCCCATCCCGACCCTCCATCTCTGAAAGCCTCATGCCAGAGCTATAAGTGTCATCACTCTACCTTATTTTTAAAGAAAGGGAAAGAAATAAAAAGTTACTCTGCAACTTTTGTTAATTTTATACTGTTTTAAAACAAGGTGCTCATCACCAATATTTCAGAATCTTCTAATATGGTTCATCCATTATGGATCCAGAATCTGGTAACTTAAGTATTGTTTTCACATTAGAGCAATTCAAACAACTCTGGCAATGCAATTTTGGCTATGAGAATTGCAACCCACTCCTGCTGGCATCCAGCATTGCTACAGAACCTGTA